TAGTATGTGATTACATCTTTTCACCTTTCATGTGAACTTAAAAATAGAGCCTCCATCTGCTCCACATGTGAAAACCACAAAATCCGATTTTGTGTGAACAGCAGAAGGTGATGCTGGGACATTCAGGTTAAGCTTCATCTGAGGTTTTCAGCCTGTAGAAGAACTTGTGTCACTGAGTTCAGTCCTGACTCATTATGAGTTGCAGGTTATGCGTCCATCGGAGACTCTGGCTGGTTCAGGTCAGTTTTCTTGCCTTAAGCGTTTACACTCTGTTCTCTCCCTGGATGCACCGGTGGCTCCATCGCTCCACAGATTCCATCCAAACATCATGAATTGTGTTTTAGGATTCAGGGCAATGTCCTGTTTCTAAGTTTCCAAAGATACCGACAGGTCAGGGAAATTCTCCTAGATGTAAACACGTACACTCGTATCATCCAGGTTGAAAGTTCAGTGAAAGTGTGATGTCTGTATGTGATCTCGGCTCCTAGAGAAAACTAGGAATGAAAATAATTCGTGACTGGCATGAATGTAACGAGTGGCTCAATCCAGACCCCAGAGGCTTTTCAGCCTACTAAGGCTATGTTCAGACTGTAGGCCAAAGTGACCCGAATCCAACTTTATTTTATATGTGACTCAGATCAGATCTTTTTATGACAATGTGAACAGACCGAGTCTGGAATCTGATCTTTTCCAGTTCGGATTTGGGCCACTTCCATGTGGTCCAAATTAAATGTGACCTAAGTCTGGACACTCAGTCTAGAGACTCTAGAGCAGCAGTTGTCACAGTTCTACTGTAGACAGAACCATGCTGAACGAACAGCATTATAAACATGCGGCTCTCTTCGTCCTCTACCTCGCTATCATCTGCTCACAATTCCTCTTTCTTCCACCTGAAATTCCCGACCGCGAGCTCTGTTCTGAGTTACGTGTATGCTACTTGTCCATGCGGACACAGTGGGGAGAGAGAGAGAGACTGTAACGTTAGTGAGTTGTGGGACAGATGTGTTGTACAGTGCCAGAACTGCAGCAACTGAGTCCTAAACCTTCACTGTGGAATGGGGGTCAAACAGGGGTGCATCATCGCATCCACCCAGTTTGCCATCTTTATCCTTCATCCTGACACAAGCCTTAAAAATAAGAAGTACCTACATCATCTGCCACCCAACTAGCCATCTACACAGACCACCATAAAAGTGGGAAGTACCTCTCTTAAAACTTCCCCTACTGCGGCAGCCTTCTCTCCTCAAAGCTGATTCACTTCAGACTTGTCACATATTGACCGCTTGGTCAGGCCCCAAGGCGCTTGTTAACGCCCCGAGTTCCCATTTAGCGTATTTAGACATTTAAGCTCATATGCAACGTCCAGTTGACTTTTGAAACATCGCCATTTTGAAACGGCACGTTATTAAAGTTGGGAAATGTTGCAGTTTGGTTCGGTTTAGGCAACAAAACTACTTGGTTAAGGTTAGGAAAAGATCGTTGTTTGGGTTAAAATAACTATGTAGGTCAGTTAACACGCAAGTGAACGCAACTTACGCATTTTATGGAACTTGCCTAACTTAAATAAAAATAGTTAATGCTGACTTTTTGTTTCACACGGGACACGAACGCCGGCCTTCCGGTTCAAAGTCCGGGTCCTGGTCCTCCATCCACCCCAACCACCACCCGACATCTTTTCTGTTAAATATCACATACCTACCTTTACTGTAAAAACTGATGCTACAGGGCTTCCCCCACTGCGTTGAACTACAACGCTATAAGGATCCCAGTGCGTTACAAACTGACGCTGATGGGTCTTGACCATGAGACAATGAGAACGGATTGGTGGAACCTACACCAGACTTGGACAGGGAACGAGTCTTTAAAGAACGAGACCTAAAGTCCCAAACAAAACCATAAACCACCTACAGCAGGGACCTGAGAGCCCTGGAACACCACCACAAAAAGATCCTTACGAAAGATTTTAAGGGATCAGCTGGGAGACCAGACGCACCAACATCAGCGTTCGGGAGGAAGCGACAAATGCAGCACCACCTCCGATGGACAGGCCATGTCATCTGCATGTCACCAAAGTATGTGGATCTCAGATTAACCTCTATGGCCCACAAGTAAATGACCCAAAGGGAAGGTCAGCCATACTCGCCTCGAATGAGCACAGATGAGGATGATGATGATGTGTATGTGTGTGGGTGGGTTTTACGAATGTGGGGACATAAATCTGTCTACACAGTCACATTGTGGGGACTCGCTTTTGTCTGTGTGTTTGTATGAGCGCTACGCCAGGTTTCTGTTATTGACTCAATCAATCACACACCAACATAATAACAGCAGTACTGTGTGAAGCACCATGCGTCTCCTCTTGTCTGTTCAAACCTGTTCAAGTGGTGATTGACTTTAATTACTAACAGTGATGTGAGGAGCACAATAATAATCCCTCAGTCCCTCCACTACTGCTTCTTCTTCTCTCACCATCCATTTATATAACAGTACATAACCCTAGTGTGTGTGTGTGTGTGTGTGTGTGTGTGTGTGTGTACGTACGGCAGTGATGTAACATTAAACACAAGTTAGAATAAGAAAAGACGTTCATCCCACCCTTTGTCATTGGTTATTGAAAGTTTCTTTTAGAGCGTGTGTGAGTGGCGTCTTTTATTGTAGGGAGGCCTCTGATTGGACAGCCAGAAGAGGAAGGGTTAATCTCTGACCTCAGTGTCCATCAATCATTTGTATTGATCGTTTAGTGTGCGCGTGTGGGAGATGTGTTGTAATACGGAGAATTTGGAAAGATTTCAGACTGCTTTCAGTCTCTCTTTGTGTGAGAGAGATAATGAAGAACTTTGTTCAGTGGTTTAATATAATTGTTATTTTATGGAGTTTGACTTCACTTAATTACTTTAGATTCTGTTTAAATTTTCTTTTATGTCTACATTAATGTGCTGACTTTGTTATTCAATTCATGTTTGTATTAACACTGTCACATTTCTTATTTATTCACTTTGTTTGAATCACTGTACAGATCAGCAGGCTCAACGATCTACAATGTGTGCCCACCTTTATATAGATGCACCGCTGACGGACACCAGTCAAGAGCAGTGTTGGACAGTAACCCGTTACTTTTCCCAGTAAATAGTTGTGTAACGGATTACTTTTCCAAAACAGTAATATTATTAGTTACTAATGCACCATCCTTGACGTGAATTCACTGGATCTTATGTTATTGAAGTCAGCTGTTAGCCGAAAAGCTAAAGGAAGAATGGAGAATGAGGGAGAGATTTTCTTTCCACAGCTGTCGCCATTATTGTGTCACAGTCTAAGATGCAAAGAACATTGTGCAGCAAAAAGCTTTCAACCGCGATTAATTCTACATTTAATTTATTGAAGCATCAGCTAAAGCAGCACTGCAACGTGAAACTTATAGAAAGAAACTCCGGCAGCTCCTGTCCGTGATGCTGGGAGTCGTCGGGAGTTAAGCAATGTAACGTTTTATAAAAATACTGAATGTTGCTCCTATAAATACATGTGCAGAAAAACAATAGTTCAAAAGTTGCAATTTATTTGCTTTATTTTTATTTTTTTATCCGGTGGTCGTAAAGAAACGTTATGTCTTGTAAAAACTATACTCCTTGCTGCTTTTATGAATATGATATTAGTTAGAAAGTCGGGAGAGACTGCTTTGTTTTGGGGAGGGGGGGTGGTAGTGAAGGTAATATAGTAACATAACGAGTAACTTAACTAATTACTTTATCACCCAGTAATAAGTAAAGTAATTACTTTATAAAGGAGTAATAAGTAACTAGTAACTTATTGCAATTTCTGAGTAACTTGAAGTCACGAATCTTATTGAAGTCTGAATTCAAGTTAGAAAGCACGCTTAGAAAGAGTACAGGAAATATACAGCAACTGAAACAGTGTTTAGAAAACACCTTTTACCCTTTAAATTGATTCTAAAAAGGTTAAATCTGCCCTTTCAAGTGGACTTTTCTCTCAGAAAGAGCCCTATTATTGTGATGGAGATGTTCACATTCTTATCCTGAATGAGCTCTGACTTTGGTTATCACTTCTGTAAAGGCAGCTACTGTGAGAGTCAATAAATATCAACTGCATGAAAACAGCTTAATGGCGTTCAGGACGGCACCTGGTCCAGTGTACAGAACGTATGTGTGTGTTAAAAGCAGCTGCTAGCTTGCGTGCCGTCACATGTTGGGAGGCTCAGTAATCTGTTAGCGATGTTGCTCGTTAAATATGCATGCAGCCGCGGCGACGCACCATCTTTAATTAAACGAGAGAAATCCACTGTTATTGCAGCATGAATTCTTCATGATCGTTATGCTGCCAATTAACACCACGCGTCACACACGCAGACCCTGACAAGTCTCGGGCTAATGTGTGAGGATCTCCGGCAGTAAATTTTATTTTTAATCACAAAGACTGTCATCACATTTTTTTCCAACATCAGAGGGGAGAGGTGTTGGTGCGTGATAGAGGAGGTGGCAGCTGTAGTTTCAGTTAAACAGCAGGAAGAATCTCAGCACCTTTATTCCTTTACACCTTTTAGCTTTTACACCTGTGCACTGGTGATGAGCGTGTATCAAGGGAGCTTTTAAATAAACTCCATAGCAGAGAGAATTGTTATACTATTCAAAGTAGTTGTAGGATAAATGACGTTGGTTGGACAGTAAAGTTTTTCTTTTTACTGCAAGTGTTGGTGGAGTTCTGACCTGTCAAGACTTTTTCCTTCTCCGTGCACCGTGGAAGAAGGTGACGTGCCAGAAATCTCTCATATATAGTTCAACACAGTGGGGGAGGCCCTGTAGCGTCAGCTTTTGACGGTAAAGGCAGGTATAAGATATTTAACAGAAAAGACTGAGTAAGGCAGTGGATGGAGGGCTGGAACCCAGACTTTGAACCAGGAGACCAGGGTTCAACATTAAATATTTTTATTTAAACAAACAATAAAACATGATCTTTTCCTGACCTTAACCGAGTAGTTTTGACCAAACTGCAACATTTCCCATCTTTAATAACTGTTACGGGTGTACGTAAAAGCTGGACCCAAAAGCATGACAGAGCCGGTTCACTGTTCACAATTCAAAGGGAGTTTATAGAGGAATAAACAGTTCAAAGGGGGGCGAGGGAGGGATGGTTGGACTGAAGCGGTGAGGGTGAAGCAGGCAGATCCGGGCGGTCTGTGAGAACGAGGGAGAATTCACAAGGATTAGTAGAAGAAAAAACAGGCTTACTACGAGTAGCAGGCCAAGGTTTGTACCACTGATTCTTACAGATACACAGACAATCTGGCAAATACTGGTGTGCTGGACCGGCTAGATAACAGACGGTTGATTGGGAACGAGGTGCAGGTGTGTAGAGACAGCGTGCAGGAGCCCAGCACGAGAGCCACGCCCACCTGCAATTAAAGCAGACTCATAAGGGAAAACAGACAGACAGACATAAAAGGGTGGGAAACAGCAGAGAACAAAAGGAAAACAGAGGAGAGCGACCACTGGATATAACAATAACGTGCTGTTTCGAAATGGCGATGTTTGGAAACGCTAGAGTTTTACTTTGAAAGTCTACCCGGACGTTGCATATTTGTTGTTGCTAACTTGACCGCGGAGACTACACGTCCAAAAAGCGACGCTGAAGGGCCTTGACCAAGCGTCAAATATGTGACGAGTCGGAGGTGAGAATGTTTACACATACAAGGAATTTGCTTTGGTGATAAGGTGCTACACGCAGACAGACATACACAGATGTATGTGCGGACGTAACCAGGAAGCTTCCTTTATCCTTGTTTCCTTACTAGGAAGCTTTCACCTTTCACAACGATGCTGGCGCAGAACTACGGCTTGAACCTTTCAGAAATATTCTGAATGTATACGGGAAACAGAAAAATAACCCTGCACCGCTGGACTGAGCTGAGTGTACCTGCAGGACATCAGATCAGCTGTAACCAATCACAACTGGAGGATTCAGAGTGTCCTCCACGCCGGGTTAAAGGTTGCCTCATTTGAAAAATCTTCCGCATATTTCCTCCTGTAGTATTTACTAATTAGCGGATTCTTCTTCTTCTTCTTATGCTGCCTGCCAGTTTGAGTTTTTTCACTTTGCAGTATCGACTCCCAACTCCAGCGCTTCAGAACCGAAATTGGACTTATTATTGGACTTACCTTCAGCTATTAATTAGAACTGTAATTTCTGTAATTATTTCCCACCTGCAGCTCTTGTGTCAGCCCCAGCTGTCTGCGGAGGAGAGCGTCTCTGTGAATAGACCTTCCCCGTGCGCTGATGAGCCGAAACATCCGACGTGAGAAAAGAGCAGGTGTCAATAATAACATTAATGATCGCTCCGTTCCTTTTAGACAAAATAAATCAGAAGCAGCCTATTCACTGTGCTTTCCCTTTAAGAAGTAAAAGATTTAAGGGACTAGATAGAATGATATAAATCTTTCTCCATATCTTCTTTATTCACCTTCTTTCCTCGCTGTGAGGACTTTGTCCCATTACCTGCTCCTACAGTGCCAAATGATTGACTCCCTCTGTTTATCCACTTTAATCTGCCAGGCCTGCTGAATCAATGTTAATGTGTTTTATGAAATGTTAACTCGCTGCAAAAGCTGCTCTTCCTGATTAAATATTGACAGAGAGGCATCATGCTTTGGTGGGTTTCTGAATGCATCGATCTCACCTGAGCCTTGTACCTGCGCCAAATCCCAACAGAACAGTTATAATGTTGGTAATGAGGCTTTTCCTACTTCCAGCTTCTGACCGTCAACAAACAAAATAATATTTTCCCACCTTGTGTTTCATTAGTGGTGCAACGGATCACAAAACTCACAGTTTGGATGATATCGTGGTTTTGAGTCACGGATCGGATCATTTCATAGATCAGCAAAAAGAAAAAGTTAGGATTTAAAGTACTTTTAAAATTGGCTCTGATGTAGTCCCGCCCACAGCACTACCTGATTGGTTACACGTTCCGGCCTAAAACACTGAAGGCTGCTGTGAGCAGAGAGACCAAACGGCAACAGTGAGCGAGCGGAGCGATGCGTCAAAGGGAAACTACAAATATTACTGAAGCTGCAATGAACATCACAACCTTATTGTCTATTTGAACGATGTCCCTACAGACTACAGGGTTTCACAGCCAAGGCTTTTAAATTAGTCGCTCTCCCCTAACCGTCACTGCGCTTTAGAGTTAAACATAGCATGCATCTGTCTTTTCTGTCTTTTCACCTGCATCATGTTTTACATTATTTCTTAAAAAAATAAAACTGTTTATCACACTAAGATGTTTGCAATAAATGCCCGCATGCCAAACTGAGGGGTCCGTTATAACACTTGTCTAACTTAAGGTTTATATTCTTTTTTTTGCTCCCACACTTTATTCTACCTTATTTCTGAAACCCGTGATAACTCCCTTTTTGGCCTTTCAGGGGCAACAGAACCAATTTCACATGTTGAGCTTAGCAAAAAGCTGCTCATTAGGACGTCCGGTGGTTACAGAGCAACATGATCATGTACTTGGTGCTGAGTTTGTGTGTGCCTGCGGAGAACGTAGTGTACTGTGGCTTTGTGAAGCTTTTTCTCTGAAAAACGATGATGAGAGCTCAGAGTGAAAGTTTTATATAATTAATAAGACTTTAAAAAATGCATCAGATCAGCAGGTAGAATATTTCTGCAGACTTTCAGCAGTGTTAGTTTTGTGTATCTGGACAGCCTTGCAAATGTTGATGGTTTAATTCCCGCTGCTCCCTGCTCTTTGCTCCCTGCCTCCTCCTCCGTCTGTGGTCACTCTGCATCAGTGGGCGAGCGAGATTACTGTGAAGTGCAGAGAGGGAGAGGTGGTGGAGGTGAAGATGTTGAACGGCAGTTTAACATCACATCAGTCTGTCCAGTGACAGCGGGAGAGACGGACGCCCAATCACATCTCAGAAGGAACCATTCGGGTGTTTTGGTGCAGCAGTTACTTTCCACCCACACCCGTCTGAAACGCTCCAAATTCTTCCTCTTCTCGAGGTTGCTCTCTCTCCTGTGAAGCTGCTGTGTTTCTGTGAATCCCAACTTGTCCATTTCCAATGAGGGTCAGCTGTGAGGGAGGAGGATGAGAGGAGAGAGCAGCAGAGCTGTAATTTCGCAGCCTTCCCGAATGCATCTTAGGCTGCAGCCCTGTTTTCTTCTTCTCCTGCTGAGCGAGACGAAGAGTGGCGGCTTTAACCCTGTGTGGGAGGACGATGAGAGGAAGCACAGCTAATTATTTATCCATTCAGAGGCGAGAGGAACATGCGGCGGCCAGGCTGAATGTCCCCCAGGCCCCGCCTCCTCAGTCGCGGCCTCTGGGTTGCCACGGTAATGAAACTGGATTTGAGATCTCTGAAAACCCTCCCTTCGTCTTATGGTCCCTGCAGCTCAGCACACTCAGAGGTCAGAGGTCAAACACTGCAAATGTGAGCGACCCACCGAACCCATTACCCAGACTAATGTGTGTGTTTTTCTGCCAACCTGCAGAAACGGAGCGGCTCACCTCGACGCCGCTGCTCTCATTACAACAACAGAAACAGACAACAAGCACAGCCCCGAGGCTAAAGGTTAGCCTACACCGCCAACCTTCAGCACCCCCACCCTCTTGGATTGTTTGTCGTGATCAGATCATGGACTGAAATGAACATTGTTAGCTTCTCTCTGTGGCTGAAAAGTTGGACGAAAAAACTTTTCGTTTTTAGTTTTTTAGCAGAGACACGCCATGATGTCTCTGTGGATGACATCATCCTCTTTAACACGTAAAACTTCCATCTTTAAGTTCCCATGAAATGGAAAGCTATTTGCTTCTGCATATTTAAGTGTTTCCTGTAACAACACAACGCTAGGGAGGACTTGTCACAAATATCGATTGACGTTTTCAATAGTGCTGAATGTGTCACGTGAGTGAACGACAAAGGCCAGTTTCGTCCCGCCCTTTGTCAGTGGTTATTGAAAGTTTCTTTATGAGCTTGCTAGAATTATGAGTGGCATCTGTTATTGTAGGGAGGCCTCTGATTGGACAGACAGAAGAGTGAGACCTCAGTGTGAATAAATTATCTGTATTTATCCTTTGGTGTGTGTGTGAGGGAAAAGATTTAAGCTGTCCATCAAGAAACTCACCTCTGAACTGAATTCACTTGTGGTCTATGAGCAGGGCCGGCCCTGACAATGTTGGAGCCCTAGGGGGGATTTTTTATTGGTGCCCCCCCACCATGCCCAACCCTAGAAAGTCGACCTCAGGGGTTGGGTTCATCACTCCTCTTTCCACAGGGTTTGTTTTAAACGTTCAGCAGCCAAACTCACATTTTCAGCACGTGTAGATGAAAAGCCAAGTCAGTAATCATGGTCAGTAATGAATAAGTGGGGTCAGCTTACTTGTCTACCTCAACATCACAGCCTAGATTGGGAAAACAAACCTCCATAAACTGTGTGTCAACCCAGAGACTGTTTTCTTGCATTATAGAGGACATTTCTTGAAATGCAAAAGCATTTGTTTAGTTTCAGAGGTGGAGGGGACTCAAATGAAGAGCGGGTCCCTTTTAAGCATTGAAGACTTCATTTCCTACATTCAAATTGTATTTGCCAGAATTTCTTTATCTTTTTGATTTATGTTGATATCGGTCCAAAAATGTCTCATACCGCCAGAAATGGGGATGTCTTCACATCAGCTGTCTGAGGATGTTTCTATAAACCAGTGTGTATGGACCCTCTAAGCCTCAGCAAAACATTTTAATGTAGAGCTTCAAATGTTGTCGGAGATATGAGACGGCACGTTACCTGAGCTGGAGAGCACAGCTCGCGTTTCACACATATTCCTTTATATATCCATCATTTATTTATTAATAATTACTTGCATTGTTTTGCTCAAATCAGATTAGATCAAATCAACATAATCCTGCATTCACAGAATAAAGAAAAAGACACATTTCTGCTGCCTACCTGCAAACTTTCAGACTTCCCCTGTGTCGCTTTCAACAGAACACTATGGATTGTGGGTAAATCCCACAGGCACAGCATGCAGTGCTGCAGGAGTTCAGAAAGTTAGCATGAAGGGCTGAAAAAGTTGGGGAGAGCCCTGCAGCACTTTGTGATTTCACAGTGGGACAGTCCTGAACCGTCTCACACTGATGTCTGCCAGTGTGTGATGGTGGACGCTGGGACCACACTTCAAACACACTCTTTAGAAAAGTTGTTGAAACATACCAACCGGAAAAGGAATACTCCAGCATGTTAAGGAATCTCTTTATTTTTTGGCTACACAAGTAAAAATCAGTGTTTCCTCATATATAAAATACATTCTTGGTATTTCAACTAATAAGACGAGGAGTCTGCAGCCATCTTAGCAGCTCTGTAAGGCTGTACAGCGGTGCTTTGAGCTAATGTCAGCATGTTTAGCAGGTATGATGTTACCATGTTCACTATCTTAGTTTATCATGTTAACTCAAAGCAC